CGTTCCATCCACAAAAAAATAACAAATAGAATGCGTTACGGATACAATGATCACAAAAGATTCAATTATTGTGATTATATATAAATACACAAAAAAGAAGAGTAAACACACTGTTGTTATTTTCCTAAAAATTGTCTATACAATTTTTGCTATCCTAAATTATTCGAATTTTAATGTTTAACATAATAGACTTAATATGATAAATAAAATAAAATACATTTTGTTTATCATATTAAGTCTATTAGTTAAACATTAAAATTCGAATAATTCATGTTTATTGTATTATAATAATATAACAAATATATAATATTTATTATATTATTTATCATTATTTTTTTCGATGTGTACTCGAGTTTTCTAAATTTATAACAATACAATAAATTTATACCACACATGGTACAATATATATCCATTGATAAAATCATTAATATTTTCTAGCATATTCTGCCAAAAATCATATATGTTATAACATGATATATTAAAAGATAAACGTAACAAAATTATCAAAGATTAAGGGGAGGAAGTTATTGAATAAAGACATCGCATTTAGATGCTCCTTTTTAGCTTGGCGTTTTAACTAAGTTATACGACGACTATCGGGATGTCAAGTGATAGAAATTATGATCTCGCGACGGAGCAGCGAAGGATCCCGCGGAAGGAACGAATCGGTGGGCCCGAAGGACACGACGAGGCGGACGTGGAACGTGAAAACTGGAAGGCGTAAGAGAATGGAAATCAATACGTGAAGTGAGCAGCCAGTTTCAGGCAGAAGTTGCCGGCTTTAGAAAGCCTTGAGACGCCGTCTGCCCATCCTCTTCGGACCCTTGTGTTAAGAGAGCTCGAGCAGGGATGGGCGAGAGCGAAGGAAGCGCCAGTGACAGAAAGTTAGAGGAAGCGAGAAGGAACGGGGGTGGGTATACGAGAGAACAAGAAAGAGAGAGGGCGGGAGGGAGGGGGAGACGAGAGGTTCCATTCAGGACTAATGGGGTTAAACGCCTTAGCCATCAACCGAACGCCTCCCTCTTGATTCTCGGACGTTTCGATTCGTCCGGGGCTAGAATTCGAATTATCCGTAATATCTCCGGACATAGTTTACGTTCGCCGAGACTTCGTCTCGCGAATTAATAGAAGTGTGTGCGCGCGAATAGAAAAAAAAAACGTCGCACACGGCAATTACCTCAGAAACGTTCTTAGCCATCACGATGCTGTTCCCTTTAAGTGCTGATTTGAAAATTCCTTATTTAAATCTTAAAACTTAAATCTCAAAATCTCATTAGTCTAGGTCCACAACCTTGCTTTAAGAGGCCATAAGCTGTAAAGACGTAAGAAATCGACCAATCACAGTCGATTATTTTTCTCATGTTCGATGCTATTTTAGAGGCACATAAATGTTGGCGTCGTTAATGCAAAACACCAATCGCAGAAACAGAATTCGTTGCACGTATGGTGGTTATATGCCATCGGCATTTCGTAGTCGTCGTCCAGAAGTCGTTAAGTTTTATGCTTCTTCGAGGGAGAGGACAAGAGAGAGAAAAAGAGAGTTCCGTCTCCGTAAGGTTTTATCATAATCGTTCTCATGATGGCCCGTCGTAATGGAATGCCGGATTAGAAAATGACATATGATCAAAGATCGACATGAAGGGATCTTTTGATATACTTTCGAGGATCACGATGGGGTTTCACGCGTCTTAATCTTCCGATCGCACACGCAACTTTGGAGACAATGACTTTTTTTTATCTTGTCCTATATCATAACTCTAACTCTCATTATTAGATTATGAATAATGATTCCTATGTTGATTTACGTATTTTAACATTACGAATGAAGAATTGCAAACTTCAATATTCGATTTGATATTTTCGATATTGTTCTTCCTACAGTTATGAACTTGTTAATAACACATTGTTACTTTTGTTTTTAAAAATGATCTTTAGTTGTGCATATCGATAAACGTTGACATTTTACAATTTTATAATTAGAAAATACAACTTGCCTTTGTGTGCCATGTCGTCAGCAGTGACCGAAGCTATGAGGCCGGTTGCGCCCGGCCATGGAGCGACCGCAGCGCCCAGTTGCTGCGAAGGCAGAATCTTCGGGCCTTTAAACACTTCTCGTTCACTGAAACCATAATTAATATCGTTAGAAAAAATCTTAACCTCGTACGTGGCAATAACAATAACGTCTTTCCGTCCAAAAACTATAAGATTATCAGACCAATTAATCGTGTGATTGAGAAAGCAAGAACGATCATACCTAGCTTCGTAACGTAAATCTGAAATTAGTGAGATGCACGTTGGTAAACACGATTATAAAGTGACTTTAGACAATTAATAACGCGAAAGAATAGTGCTTGTACCGAAGATACTTGACGGTTTCGATGACCCATCCAAACTGTCCCGTATTAAACGTCGTAGATAATTCGACACCCGCGTCGTTTACTCGAAAACTGTATGTATCTATAACACCTGTGTAAATCTGTCATTTGCATATCGCGGTCGCATATGCGTTGCCTTGAGCAGACAAATAAACCGATCTCTTCTCGCGCTGTTACCTCTAAACCGTGCGGTTCCCATCCTACCGCAATGTATCCACACAATCTACTTTAACCTTGCGTTCTATAAAGCGCACAGGAAAAGGGAAAGATATATACATATATATATATATATACACACATATAAAATTCACTAGTAGCTCGTAAATTACAAATATAAAATATAAAGAGCATTCAGCCACGCGCAAGGTGTTTTTTGCGAATGTTATATATTAAAAATTCTTACGTTACAGATACAAATTATGTGGCGTTTCTCACAACTTTTCATATAAAAGTCTCTTATTAAAATGAATAGAAGCAAGAATTTTCAATTTAAAAAGCTCTCATTAAGACGAATAGAATCAAAGATTTTTCGGCAACATACATAACTGTAGATTGTAATCCGAATAAGAATTTATTGTTAATTTATTCTTTTAATCTTATGACTGCGAACTATTTTTATATTATTTATATTGTGATATACTGAAGATGGCTTGATATAGGCCGAAACGTCTATAATTTGTATCTGTAACGTAAAAAATTTAAATATATAACGTTTGCAAAAAACACCTTGCACGTGGCTAAATGCTCTTTATATATTATAAATATACAAATATATTAAACATGAAAATATGAAGCAATAAGATTTAAAAAATTTCAGAGAAATTAAAAAATTGGAAGAGATAAATAATAAAAATCTTTTAAAAATATACAGATTAACTCATATTATACAATAATAAACTTCTGTATAAAAATAAAGGCATGTAAGAGTCAATGCGAATGTCGGTGCGTAAAATTACAAAATTTTAATTATATAATATTAAATTTACATTTAAAAAATCGAGATGACAATATATATATAAAGTTTACGTTGTTACATGTTTTCGTTGCCTTTTTGAACCCTCTTTAGATGTCCAAAATAAATAAATCAAGAAGGAAAATGCAGCAATATTTTTCCAGTTCTCATGTTAACTAACTCCAGAAACTCCAGAAATTCACAGAACGGTTGAAAGACCGTGTGGAGAAAAATTCTGGAGACTGTGTAATACATCAAAAGGTGAAAACAAAAACCTGGAATGTTCTATAAAATTAAGCAACTTTTTTTGGAATTTTTTAAGTAGTAAACTCACCATTAGAACTGCAAGTAACGCACAGAAATATTTTAAATAGAAAATTTGTCAAAAAATTTCTTAAATAAGAGTTAAATTATTAAGATGAACGTCAGTTGACCGCAGACAGATATTGATTAAGAAAACAGTCATGATAACGCAAGTTTTGTTTATAATAGGAAAATACGCAGAGTGAAGACCCTCTGGAGATTGAGACTTATTTTGTTTCTTAATGTAAATCATTTCCGATATTAGTCATTTACTATAACAAGGTTCTTCATCCAAGGTTCTTATATTATCCTAGTCGAAATCATACTCGAATTGCAGCCTATGATCGATAATTACCGAACTGGTAGACAAGTTCCAGATATGATTACGATGTTCGTTAATTCGTGTTTTCAACTGTCTACCCGTCTAGCCGACATAAGAAGCATTACAATCATTACAGTCAATCCTATATATGAGAAATTACAAATTAACAGAAAACTAATAAGTTTTTATAGACTCCTTAAATTAAAACAATTTAGAAAAAACATATAACATACAGTACAGGCAATAGGAGTCAACGCTATTAGTATATCAATCCTATATATACAACGTTGCTTTTAGACAAATGTGGACGAGAATCTTTGTGAACCTTAATAAATTCAGATAATTTATTGATGTTGAAAAACAACACTCTAGTATCTTTGTTAATAAATTGATTAAATTTCTCAGATATATTTATTGCATATATGAGACGGTAAGCCATACAGAATCAGATGAATCATCATTACTAATTATTATTACTCTTTTTATTATGAGTGTTGTTCTATACTATAATTCTTAGTAATTTTACGTACTGACATATATAACATTCACGTTGACTCTTACATGCCCTTATTTTCACATATTAAAAACTCTTTCATCTTAAATAAAATTTAATAAAAAATTTAATTTAGAGTTACAAGATAAATTGTTGATAAATTTTTATGTGTAAGGTACTGGTAAGAATGATAGCAGATTATCAAAATAAATGATTTCTTAATGAATATTTATATTAATTTCTATTAACATGTTTCAAATTTATGTTATTTATTGGCAGAGCTGTTTATTAATAATTGCATGTATCATTATACAATATCAGTTGATCTTCATATTCTCAAATACAAAAAACGTAAATCATCTCTAAAACGAATGGAATCTCGAACGTCGTTACATTGATGACATGAAGTGTTTTAATTACCGAGGATCACGCTCGTTGAAGATGTGAACTACTTGCGAACGTAACACCCTCCGTATATTTTTCACTACTGCAGACAGAAAAAAAGAGAATGAAGTGAGAGTTGGTGGTACTAGAGGGAATGAAAATGGAGCTAAGCGTGATAATTAGCGTCGGAAAGGGTTAGTCGGCTGAAAGCGTACGAGTTGTATCGCTCCATATATAAAACGCATATGAGAAGCTATAAGAAGAAAAACAATTTGTGAAAGGAGTTTAAATGCAGAGAGTAAAAGTCGTATCGAATCGTTAACGGCATTGCAAAATACATTACGGAAATTAAAAGTAATCTCTAGAAGCTTCACTTACAGATGCTTCCGTTTCATTCGCTTCGATTAAATCGGGATCAATTTTGAATGTCTTAAATATGGAACATATTTTACACGTTATAAGCAATTCGAGAAGGATAACAGTGCTAATACTTAGGCAGCATAAAATGAGAAATAATTCTCAAGTTTGAAGTTGTGACAAAGGGCGGTATTTATAGTCGGATCTTATATTTAGGATCGTCTTAAGTACACTCTTAAGATGTCATGAACTAATCAGAGAGACGTGTATCAGCATCTTAAGACATTACTGACAATCTTAAAACAAGAACGGATTATTATAAATACTGCCCAAAGATATCTATTTAATGTTAACTCTAAATAAAATAAAAAAGTATTGCATTTCGTTTAAATAGTATTTTATTAGAGAGATCTTCTACTCACACAACGGCGTTACTTCATCAATATTCAAATTGAGATATATGTTTTTCCTACGAGTTAGCAGAAGATTGAAGAAAAATGTCAAAGCTGACAAAGACATCTCTCTCACAAGGATATTTATGCAAGGTTCATTGAATCGAATCAAATTCACGTTATAATTTATAAGACGATTCACTTCCGCAGATAGAATTTAACGCGAGGTAGCACAAGTGTCTGCTCAGGACACTTCCCCCTTTTTCTCTTTCATTATCCACGATGCTCTTTGCGCTACAATACAAGAGAGGAGCACTTCCTTGTATATACTAAGAAGACGGTGCGAGAGATGAGATACAGAAAAGAGGAAAGAGCACGAGAGGCGCGAAAGGCATACGTTTATGTATACACGAGAGAAAGAGCGGGAGAAACGAGCGGGGGTGGAAGGAAGGAGGTTAGAACGCATTGCATTCGCATATTGTGCAAGAGGATTACCTCGGATTATGCCCGACTGAGCGCAAACAGGATCACGTCACTTCTGTTTGCAAGACGCCAAGCTGTCGATTTAGTGAACTCAAACTCGATTCTATCTCGCGCGGAATCGCCAACGGAACAGCGGTTTTCCGAGAGACTTTTTCTTAATCGTATGCGATTTAAGAGTTCGACAAGATTAAATATCTCGCAAAAAGAAAACTTACTACATGCGCGATCAACTTTTTAAATTTCTCTTTCAATTATAAAATAATGTACTTAACGCAAGATACTACTGTGTTTCTTGATAAGTTACAATCTTAGAAATATAACTCTCTGATTATAAAGAAATATTGCTTATCGTATTTTTCCTTTCGTTCAAATATTTCTCTTTCAAATCAATGAGATGCGATTTTTCAAATAACTTATTTAACATTAAATGTTATATGATTATTCGGTAAATTAATCTTTTATTAAATTAAGAATACACGCCAGTTAAATATCAGATGTCTTTTATGATCGCGTTAACCTTAAAACGAGATTCTTCTAAACCTTGGACAAAATTTGCAGAAAATCCATGAACTCGATTAATTGTTTAAAGAACCAAATTATTCAAAGCGTATTATCGTTGGACAAATAGAGGATTCTTAAACTTCTTGAACTGAAATTAAAATTTTCCAAACTGTCGAAGATCGTTCGCTGCTGATCTAACAAATGATATGTGGAGAACAAAGTTAGGGCGGAAGTACAGAGTCGTGCATAGTGCGTAAGAAAATGAACCAATCAAAGTCCTTTATTTCCTTCCTTTCTATGACACAAAAGACCCTGGATTGGTTGATTTTTTGCGACCTATGCATTATGCGTTACGCGAGGATCTGTACTCTTGTCTTTAACGCGTAGTTATCGCGGGATAAATTTGGACTCTTCTTGAACGCTCCGCAAACGCAACGCAACACGGCGAGACGCGAGGTTTAATGGGGCGGTGGCGGGAAGGTAGCATTATACACGCGGATGGTAATAGGTTCCATATCCACGAGCTGCCGGCGCATTATGCTTTACATTTCCGGCGA